TTCTACTGCAGGTTTCAGCTGCTTTTCCCCTGAAGAAAGTCCAGTTTCCGATGGGAGCTGATGATCCCTCCAACTTACCAATCACGGTGGTCTGGTGTGCCTTTATTGCAGAGATTCCCTTCACTTTTCCAGTGGGCTTGTTTTCCTCAGGGAGCCTGAGACAGGCACTCTCTCTATTGTTCACTTCTGGCACTCAGAACAATGGCTTTTGTCTCCCTGTGCCTCTGCAGTGTGTAACCAAGGAGCTGCACAGCCAAAAGGCCAGAAGCCGGGGTGGGGGGTGGAGTGTTGGAGGCGCTCGCGTGGCCAAGCCATCAGCTGGTGGGCCTGCCCGGGGTGGGGGGCTCCTCCTTACCCTGGTGGCAAGCTGGTGGAGCAAGCCAGAGCAAGCAGGTCCCGGTCAGCCTGCAACCACTCGGCCTCCCTGCAGTGGAAACTCTGGGGGAAGAGGACCTCAGATCTGTGCTGTGAAGCTCTGGCCTAGAGTAGGGTTCTAAAAGCTGTGTGTTTGTGCACACACTTACCTGCACTAAAAACCATACATCCACAACAACACAGTCACATACACAAAAGGACCTGAATCATGTGCACCTTGACTGCTCAGTAACCTCTGAGTCACAAATTTATATGACAGGGCCGGAGATTTAGGTCAGTGGTTTCACCACCTGCAGTGCAAGCGCAAGGATATGAGTTCGATCCCCAGTACCAAAAAAAAAAGCAACAAATTTATGTGACAAAGCAGGCATTTCTCATTTATTCTGCCCTGCTTTACTTCCTTCCTTATCCTTTTCTTGCTTGTATTTGACTGCATTCTGCTGCATGAGTTTAGGTGTGGGATCTGTGTCGTGTTGGTGCCCAGATATGTTGGATTTTGGAATGTTTTGGATTTAGGATATTTATTTTTAAATACTTAAATGTATATAACTTTTATTTTTAAAGGGCTGGGGATATAGGTTAGTGCAAAGGCCCTGGGTTCAATCCCCCAGTCAATATGATAATAACAATAATGTCCTTAATAGCAGTTTATTTTTCCTCTAGTAGGAGAGCCAGTCGGATGAAAGATTGCATTAGTTTTCTGTCTCTTCAGCATCCTTAATCTGCAGTATTTCCTCAGTGTTTGTCTTTCGTGACATTTATGTTGTTTATGCACACAGGAACTCTCCTGAATGGACAGCTCAGGTTGGACCCAAAGGTCCTTCTCCGGCTAGAACTCCCTCCACCAGCTGTGCATAGAGACATTCCCAGCTGGCCCTCGTTGGTGTCAGCCCTGACAACCTGGTCGAGACGTTGCTCAGCTTTTAGACAGCTACTGTCCTTTCTCTTGTGACTAAGAAGTTTTCACTGGCCAATGTTTAAGACGGTATGAACCCCTGCTCCTCAGTCCATTTCTGCGGAGCCTGATCATCTGCTGACAATCTCAGCTGAGCCAATCACTACCAAATGGGGCAGAGATGATTTTCTGGCTCCAGTGGTTGGGAAGGAGGTCAGCACATGGCCTTTGTAATTGCATGGATCTGCTGATGCTGAATACTCAGAGCCGGAGCCAGGTGGGATTTCAGGCTGAGAGCCACTGTCTCTGAGCATGGAGGCCCTCCCCTGTTGCTGCTGCAGAGAAGCCAGGGTGACCTGATCCTCAGCCTGCCCCAGGCGATAGGACTACTCAGTTCCTCTGTGTTCTGACAGTCACCACCTTCTGGTTTATCCCCAGGCTTCCCCTGGGTCTTCCTGCTCCATTGTGATTGTTGCCTGGAACAAGCCCACAGCAGACTTCACCGTGGTAAGTGTTGGTTCCTCCGCTTCCTGGACCCCAAGCCCCTCTTTTTGGGAGACTGCTGAGCCATGCATTCTCCAACTCTGCCTCAAGTGTGACCTTAATCTTAGGAAGTTGCTAAATGATGCACAAAACTAACAGAGCACCATACACACAACCATCTCCAGCGTCTCCCATCTGTGTACATGTACATGCATGAAGCAACACCATGTAGTAGTCATATATTATTATTAATACTATATATCAACTGACCAGAAAATAATGAATGGTAAAAAGGAGGAAAACAAAAGGGATCTCTATGTAATTAATCTATAAAAACAGGTTTAAAAATCATGATGTCAATCATGCATGTACGAGATAGTCATCACATACTTCCAAGAGACTCAAATCTGAAATATTATCAATCTTCACTAGTAACACCCTGATCACACAGAGAATATAAACCCGGGTGTGCTTGGGGCAGTCGCAAAGTGGCCAGTGGAAGCAGAGGGCCAGAAGCGGGGCCAGGCTTCCAGCAGCTCCAAGGAACTGCACTGCCGAACGTCTGCAGGCCACATTCTATGCAGTCGCTGGCACTGGGAGCGATGGGGTCTGTAGGCTCGATCTCTGTAACTTACGCCTGAAGAGACCAGCTTGTATTTAGAGAATCGCTACTCTGAGATATTTTGAACTATATTCGAGAAAGACAGAAATATTTGAGACAGAGGAAAACATAAAGGAGGTAGGAAAGACCTTTTGTATTTTCTTATCTGTGCCACTGATGTTCAACCTTACCCTTTCTCTGATTTCATATAAAATGTACACATTCCTAAACAGTACATTCATTTTGATTTTTAAAATCTCTACAAATCATATGTTACAGTGTATGTTTTCATTTTATTTTGGTTTTCTTTTTGCAAGTTAGGTTGTTTGTGGGATTTGGAAATTTTTTTATTGTTCAGTTTTTGATGACCATCATATACAGTATAACAACGGGTAGCACACACACCCTCACTCACAAACACACGTACAGGGGCTTCAAACTGAGCCACAGGCCCTTTTTTATTTTCAGACTTGCTAACTCACTGAGTTATTGAGGCTGGGCTTAAACTTTCTAACTTCCTAGCTCAGCCTCCCAGAGAGCTGGGGTTACAGCTGTGCACCTATTACTTTTAATTTCATGAATTCATCTGATGAAAATTTAAATCTTGATGCTGCTCTTCCTGACCCATGAGTATAGCACACCCTTCATTCATGTAGGTCCCCATCGATGCCTACAATGCATATCCGATTTTTTGTTTTGTTTTTGGGACAAGGTCTCACTGTGTAGTTCAGACTAGCCTTGAACTCATTATATAGCCTAGGCTGGGCTCAAACACACAGCAATCCCTCTGCCTCAGCCTTGCAAGTGCTGCAGTTACAGGTGTGCGCCATCATGCCTGGCTATATCTGATATTTTATAGCTGATCTTTTCAAACATTTTCCCTGCCTAGGGTTCTGCACACTGACTTTCTTTCCCAAGCACAGTCTAAAACCCGCTCCTTGGATGCACACACGGGCCCGACTCCCACTGAGCCAAGACACCCTGCAGAAGAGGAGTCAAGCTCTGCCCCGCAGTCTCCTGCCCAGACCACTGCACCTTGAGCAAAGCAAACCTCCCAGTGTTAGATGGCTGAGTGAGGCAGAAATACTACGGCAGTCAGATAGGTCCTCAGCGTCAGGACGAAGGTGAAACACACAACCACGGCTAGAAACAGAGCTGATGGAGACCTGGCCTCAAGATAAAGATAAGATGACCAGACCTGCATACTTCCTCCAAGGACACACACAGGGCCTGATGAAGTCCAGACAGACATCAGCCAGCCCGGTGGGTGAACAGAGACCCCTGGAGCTACCACTTCCTAGGAGGAGCCTTTGTTCTTTCCATCCACACTTGCTCCTATTTTTTTTTCCGGTACCAGGGATTGAACCCAGGGCCTTGCACTTGCAAGGCAGGGACGGTGCCACTGAGCCACATCCCTGGCCCTGTGCTCCCCTCTTGAGCACTGTGCCCGGACAGTTAAGCAGCAAATCCCTTCTGCCCAGACGATGTGGGTTCTGCTGTCTACACCTGAACGTCAGTGGGCACTGGGTGTGGCAGATCCTGAAGGTGGGGGACAGGGTGGCCGTGCTGCCAGCCTCGCGTTTCTCCTGCCAGGCTGGGCTGCAGCGGCTGTACTCCGCCGGCAGTGAGGAGGGACCCAGGCAGCCGCACGCTCGTCGGGAAGCACGGAGCTCCACACAGCTTCCGCCTGAGACACGAGACCGCCAGGCGCGGATTCTCCAAGCTCTGGCACCAGTGTGCAGGGCGGGACAGTGCCAAGCCGAGCAACGCGGCACCCGGAGAGCTGGGAGACGACGGCCCAGGAACAAGTGCGGACAGCAGCGGAGCTTCAGCTGCGGGGAGCAGCCGGGATGGACCGGCGACCCTCACGGGGCAGGGTTACCAGGTCCGGCGGGCGGCAGGAGGGCGGGCAGTTGTTTTTCACAGTCACACAGGGAATTCAGCCACCTGGTAAAGTTTAAAAACAACGTAAAGTTCTCTCCCAATGCGTCTATCCAGACAGCGAGGGCAGTGGAACTTCTGCCTCAGCCCTGCCGGAAGGGGACGTCTTCCCGGACCCTCAGCGCCGGGCCGGGGACAGCGCAGAACGCCACTCAGTCACCTCACAGAGCCCCCTAATTCTGAAACCGTTTTGGAAGCTACGCAGAGGGGCCCGAGTTGGTCGGCGCTTCTGCGCGGTTTCTGTAGCGATCCACCGGGCAGGTCCGCGCTTAGTTTAAGCTGCCCGGAGAGGCGGACACACGTGGCGCCGGTGCACAGGAAACTGGCGCTCCGTGTGCAGTCCCCGAGGAGACGGACGCCGGGGCTCGAGGCAGCACTCCGGGAGAAGCCTCCTCCGAGAGCCGACTTCTGGGCCTGCTGCCCGCTGTCCGGGCACGTTTTCAGCTGTTGTGTTCGCCGGTCTCTTGCAGAGCCGGGACCCACCCTCCACGCCCGCAGGGCCAGCACAGTGGCAGCCGCACTGACCGCGCCGGCCCGACACTGCGGCCCTGCGTGGCTGTCCCTTCCGCCGCCCGGACAAGTGGTCCGGTCCCGTGGGACGGAGGGCAGGTACTGTGGTGGCTCAGGCCACTCAGCGGCGAGACGTGCGGAGCACCGTCCCAGTCACACCTGTGCTGGGAGGCCAAAGCAGCTCAGGCCCAGCCTGGGCAACTCAGCAACCGAGCCCCGTCTCAAAATAAAAAAGGGCTGGAGGCGGGGCTCAGCACACAGGCCCTGTCCCTCGGCCCCGCGAGCCAGCACGGTGTCCTCCGCCCCAACTTCCCAAACACACGGACCTCCCGGCCCTGCTAACACAGCAGCCCCATCACGCAGACACGGCCGCTGGGGTCCTGGTTTCCAGCTCCCACTCAGGAGAACGGGGCTTTTATAAACCCAGGCTCTAGTTGTTTATAGATCTCAACGGGGCTTATGCAGCTACCGAGGGGAGTCAGGTGGAAGCGCGCTAGGCCGGGGAGGTGCTGGTCCCCGCGCCGCGGGTGTGCGACCCCAGGAGTGGGGCGGGCTTGGCCGGGCCGAGGCCCCGGAGGACGCGCACTGTCTGGGCGGGTGACGCGGGGACCCCCGAGGCGGCCAAAGTGGGCAGCAGCAGCAGCAGCAGCGGCCCAGAAGCGGGGACGAGCAGGGTGGGCGCGAAGGCCAGCGAGGGCAGGGCCGGGACAGGGCACAACCCGCGGGCGGGGGCCGAGGTCGGGGCCGTAGCCCCGCCGGGCTTCTCCGCGGGGTGCAGCTTCCGGTGCTGCACGAAACTGCCGTGCCACCGGAAGGCCTTGCCGCACACGGCGCACGTGTAGGGCCGCTCTCCGGTGTGCACCCGCTGGTGCTGCACGGCGGCCACCTTCTGCGTGAAGGCCTTGCCGCACTGCGGGCACGGGAAGGGCTTCTCGCCCGTGTGGACCCGCTGGTGCGCCAGGAAGAGCGAGCGGCAGCCGAAGGCCTTGCGGCACTCGCGGCAGCGGTGCAGCTGCTCGCCCGTGTGCAGCCGGCGGTGCTGCAGGAAGGCGGCGCTGCGGCGGAAGGCCCGGCCGCATTGCGCGCACGCGAAGGGCTTCTCGCCTGTGTGGATGCGCCGGTGCTGGGCCAGCGCCGTGCTGGAGCTCAGCCCGCGGCCGCACTGCGCGCACGCGTAGGGGCCCCGGCCCGTGTGGTTCTTCTCGTGCACGCCGCGGTCGTAGCGGGACTTGAAGGCCTTGCCGCACTCCTGGCACGGGAAGGGCTTCTCACCACTGTGGCTCATCTGGTGCCGAACCAGCCTCGAGTTGTATCGGAAGAGCTTCCCGCACTCCCTGCAGCCGTAGAACTTCATCCCGCCGCGCAGGATCAGGTTCGGGTTCAGACTCGAGGACGGCCCAGCGGCTGTGCCTTCCAAGCCCACGCCCGGGGCGCCGCTGCCACTGCCGCTTCCGCTTCCCAGGGGCTCCAGCTCCAGGTCCAGCTCCCCCTTCTCGACCCCGAACCCGGGCCCTGCGCGAGAGAGCACAGGGGAGACTGGCAGTGAGCCAGGAAGGGCCTGGGGCAGGGGGAATGAGTGGCCGGAAACGCGGGAAAGCAAGGGGGAGGAGGACGGGACCTGAGGCGTTCCGCAGGAGGTGGGGGCCTGGCGGGAGGAGGCCGGGGGAAGGGGGAGCCCACCCGCCGCCCAGGTAGAGCGCCCTGCTGACTGCTCTGTCTGTCCAGCGTGCTACCCGGTACTCCAGGGGAAAGGGATGGCTCTCGATGGGCAGCCGAACGGGAGTCGGCGCCGCTGAAGGGACGGCTCGCCCGTGCTGGGAGCTCTGCCCGGGCTCCACGCCGCAAAGCCACCCAGCCCCGACCCCCGCAGGCTCTCCTGCTGGTGCGTGTGCCTGAGTGCCAGTGTGCCTGTGTGTGCATGCGTGTGTGTGCCGGGGCGTGGGGGGGAGAGTCCCATCGCTAACAAATACCGTATAGACCTAAAGAGCACAGCAAGTTGAATTTTTAGGCGATTTACATATAAAAGTGATGAAGGCGCGCGTGGTGGCGCCTGCCTGTAATCCCAGCACTTGGGAGGCTGAGGCAAGAGGATTGCTTCGAGACTGAGGCCAGCCTGGGCTACATAGAGTTCAAGGTCAGCCTGAATTACAGTGAGACTCTGTCTCAAAAAAGCCTAAAATAAAAATTTAAAAATTATGAAGTCATTCTTTTCATTGGTAAAGCCTAAAAGTAACATCCATAGTTCTCCCAGGTGTGATGGTGCACACATAATCCCAGCACTCTGGGGCTGAGGCAGGAGGATCACAGGTTCATGCTTAGCCTGGGCTACTTAGCTACTTAGCGAGACCTGGTCTCAAAATAAAAAATAAAAATAAAAAGGGCAGGGATATAGCTCAGTGCCAAGGCCCTAGGTTCAATCTCCAGTACCTAAAAAAAAATTCGTAGCTGTGACACACATCAGTTTGACCCACAGAGTCACATTTTCCTTAAATCTGACCGAAACACCACTTCTTTGCAATGAATAATGGCATTAAAAAGACAGGAATTTCCACTGGTGAGGAAGAGTGGTATTGGGTTTTAGAATCCTGGGGTTACCGCCTTCTGCTTGGGAAGTGGGCCAGCACCCCAGAGTGGGATCCCGGGAGAGTACTGAGCTGGGGTCCCATTGGACAAGAGTACTAAGCTGAGTTCTGCCCTGGAGAAGAGGGTACTGAGCTGGGTTCCTGCCCTGGAGAAGAGGGTACTGAGCTGGGTTCCTGCCCTGGAGAAAAGGGTACTGAGCTGG